ATATATAAATGGGACATACCTTAGCTACCTTCATATAGTTATCTGTTATGAGCAGTGCCTCGTTGCACACATGTGTCCTCTGTTCTTCCCAAGTGTTCCCGTGAGTTAAGTAGAGACACTCATCAAGGCTCGGAAGTAAAGTATTGGAAACCCTACACCTTATAAACCAAACCCTAAACCTTCAGCCCTGTGAGAGTCACTACACAAACTTTGACAACGCTTGATGTTCTGATCCAATGCAAGGGTCAGCCATCAAGCATCACATGAGAGCTGTGTGTGTGTGCAATGGCTACACCTTGGCGTGTGTGCATGCATGTGTGTGCATGCATGTGTGCTTTCCAGAAGTTCGGTCCCCCGTGTATGCACCTGTCGTGTGTGAGCAATGCGTCTATTCCGGCGTTGTAACAATTAAATGTCACATATAGCACAGCCACCTGTGGTACTAGAAATGTCTTATGAACTTCAATACCCAAGCAACCCATGTATAGCACAGCCACCTGTGGTACTAAAAATGTCGTATAAAACTCAATACCCAAGTAACCCGTTCTTGGCCACTTGTCGCAGTCAGTGTTTCGTAGCCCGATGTTTGCGCTAACCCCGAAGATGGACATCACAGATATAACAGTATGATTGACAGTTGGACCCCTAAAACCCTAAAACCCTAAACCCTTGTATCGTCATTCATACACTACCACTCCATATATCCATGTAAAGTAACATTTACCACCATGTGTACACTATCATTTCCTATCTGCTGATGCTGTAGATGAGAGTAAAATCATCTTCGGCAATCTGTCGCAGGTGGTGGACTTTCAGGTGATGTTCTCGGCTGAGCTTTTAGCAACCAGTCAACTGCCACTCCATCAACAGCGCGTGGGCGCCTGTTTCATGAAACATGTGAGTGCGTTAGCGAGTGTGTGTTCGTTTATTCGTGTGTGTTTTATTGAATGTTTTATTGTGTGTGTGTGTTTTATTGGTTTTTTTCGTGTGTCAGGTAGTTGACTTTCAGTTGATGTTCTCGGCTGTGCTTTTGGCCACCAGTCAACTGTCGCTCCATCAACAGCGGGTGGGTGCCTGTTTTATGAAACATGTGTGTGTGCTATCGTGTGTGTGTTATAGTGTGTGTGTTTCATTGTGTGTGTGTTATAGTGTATGTGTTTCATTGTGTGTGTGTTTTCTTGTGTGTGTGTTATCGTGTGTGTGTGTTATCGTGTGTGTGTGTTATAGCGTGCGTGTTTCATTGTGTGTGTGTTATCGTGTGTGTGTGTTATAGTGTGTGTGTTTCATTGTGTGTGTGTTTTCTTGTGTGTGTGTGTTCTATTGTGTGTGTGTGTGTGTGTGAAAAATCACATCTCCGCACAGCTGCGAACACAATCGTGAAGTGTGTACGTTTAGGGTTTAAGTAATACAAATATCTCCATATTCTCCATGCTCATCACATGTATACACACATGCACACACCACACTCCATGCTCATCACATGTATACACACATGCACACACCACACTCCATGCTCATCACATCCATACACACAGCCACACTCCATACTTCTGCATGTGTGTAGATATCTATTGAAGGATAAGTGCATACGCACAATGCAAGTACATCTATGTGGTATGCGACAATCTCCACTACGCCCTTGGCGGTTGAGTGTTCTAGTGTGACGATACAACAGACTGAGACCTACACATTTATGCACACACACAGCAGCACCCCTCACATTACAACATGGGACTAGACAGTTATAGGACACGACGAAACACATACACTTGACATATTCACGAACAATATGCATTGCCACACCTTGTACAAACACCACACTATGTACACACATACACTCCCATGGACTATCAACTATAGTACACGACGAAACACACACACTTGACATATTCACTAACTATATGCATTGCCACACCTTTTAGGAACACCACACTTCATACACACATACACTCCCACTCTGGCGGACTACAACATTCATTGTCACACTATGTACAAGCATTCTAAAACAAACCCGTAAACATTAAACCCTAAACTCTAAACCCTTACCCGTATTCAGGCGGAGCAATTCAAATGCTACACCATGTACTGTGCCAAGCACTCCAAAGCACTGGAGCTGTTGAATCGGCTGGGCACACGCAGCAAATTAAAGGAATTCGAAAGGGTAGGTATAAGAGTATACAATCATATGATGTGTATATAATTTTGTGAAGTGTATATAATGATGATGCGATGTGTATATAATTTTGTGAAGTGTATATATTTGTGATATGATGTGTATATAATTATGTGAAGTATATATATATATGATATGATGTGTATATAATTATGTGAAGTGTGTATAATTATAATATGATGTGTATATAATTTTGTGAAGTGCATATATATATGATATGATGTGTATATAATTATGTGAAGTGTGTATAATTATAATATGATGTGTATATAATTTTGTGAAGTGTATATATTTATGATATGATGTGTATATAATTTTGTGAAGTGTATATATTTATGATATGATGTGTATATAATTATGTGAGGTGTGTGTATAGTTATAATATGATGTGTATATAATTTTGTGAAGTGTATATATTTATGATATGATGTGTATATAATTTTGTGAGGTGTGTGTATAATTATAATATGATGTGTATATAATTATGTGAAGTATAGTGATGTGTATATAATTATATGATGTGTATATAATTATATGATGTGTATATAATTATATGATGTGTATATAATTATATGATGTTTATATAGTTACGTGATGAGTGTATAATTATACGTGTATATACATATACTATATAATGCGTATATTATTTTAAATTGTTTAATCGCTTATATGACGGAACTATAAACGATATCAGATGATAACTTCTGGTTTGATTTTGCTCATGCCGTTTACTCTGCCAGGGTGTACACAACACAGAGTTGTATTATGACCTGATTGCTAGAAAAGGATCCTATCAGGCCCATCAGCACGCACATACACTCCGTAGATAATGACCGAACTTTATATCACATCAATAACGACACAACTCATATACAGACCAATAACCATTAAACAACACCATGTACTACTTAGACTACATATGGTAACTATCTATTTACTGTCAAGGTAGTCTCGTATACACACCAATAAACAACACCATGTACCAAGGTGATTGACTCAACCAAGCAAACCTAGCACTAGGTTAATTGGGTCAGCCATTCACCGGGTGTAGGGTGTAGGGTTTTAGGGTTTATGACACCTTATCCCACGTACTACTTTCACAGTCACCCCTTCTCACAAATGTACTCTGCAGAAGAAGGCAATGGATTTGGCCAGCGGCGGGGGCCAACGCAATCTGTCGCTCAGCTCACTCGTCATGAAACCAGTGCAACGGATCTGCAAATACCCTCTGCTGCTCAAGGTACCATCTGTGGTACTATGAGTCATGAGTCTCATGAGTTTCATGGATACCATCTGTGTTACTATGAGCCATGAGTCGCATGGATACCATCTGTGGTACTATGAGCCATGAGTCTCGTGGATACCATCTGTGGTACTATGAGCCATGAGTCTCATGAGTCTCGTGGATACCATCTGTGTTACTATGAGCCATGAGTCTCATGAGTTTCATGGATACCATCTGTGTTACTATGAGCCATGAGTCTCATGGATACCGTCTGTGTTACTATGAGCCATTATAGCACACCCATCTATATACCTACCTATAGCCATGCTGTAGCACACCCATCTGTGTATCTACCTATAGCCACGCTGTAGTACACCCATCTATATACCTACCTATAGCCATGCTGTAGTACACCCATCTATATACCTACCTATAGCCATGCTGTAGCATCTATGGCACATACAAGTAACAATATGTGCACAACCAGACGCATAGCTACGATTCAATAGCAAAGACTCGTAACCACAATACAGTAACAAAGCCACACAAATACAATCCAGTAACCATGACTCGTCAATCACACACAGTACAGTAACCATGGCTCATCAATTAAACACTATACAGTAACAAAGTCACACAAATATCATCCAGTAACCATGACTCATCAATCACACACTATACAGTCACCATGACTCATCAATCACACACTATATAGTAACCATGACTCATCCGTATTCGCATTCCCCTGCCCATCCACACGGGGCAGGAGTTCCGTCAGAAAACACCAAGTGACCATTTGGACTATGTACAGCTCACATCAGCCCTGTCCATGATGGAGGTGTGTTCCGTAGGGGTTTAGGGTTGAGGGTTTGACCCTAACCCTAAAGCCTTTAATCGATGGGCGTCTGTTGCAGCAATTGGCCATGGCATGGCGCATGGTGCCCAGCCCGTACAGTGTATTACTATGTATTGTGTTGGATTGGATTGGATTGGATTGAATTTATTAATTTGGATTATTTTGGATTACTCTGGATTATATTGGCTTATATTTGATTATATGATATTACGTTGTCTTGTCTTGTCTTGTCTTGTCTTGTATATCCTGGGTGGTGTTCGTATCCTTTTCCTTCGCTCCGTTGGGCCTGTGTTACCTTGAGTGTGATAGACGTGTGCAGCGTACACTGTGTTCCTGTCCTTGTCTTTGTCATTGCGCTGTACCAGGTTACTCGTTACTTACACACTCCAACACCTGTTCAGCCATTGTTGGAAGTATATACCAAACGAACACTGCAGTTGAGTACTCATTCATGTGTCAGTGGTCTGTGTTATATCCACCTGTGTGTGTGTGCGTGTGTGTGTGTGTGTGTTTGTGTGTGTGTGTGTGTGTTTGTATGTGTGTGTGTGTATGTGTGTACGTGTGTGTCTGTATGTCTGTGTGCGTGTGCGCTACCGTGGTACCATACATAGACTATTAGTACTACCAACACACAAAACCATGGCTGTGGCAGTTAAATCACAACTAGCGTTAGATGCGAAAGCCAGAAACTGACAGCATAGGAGTGACTCACAAAGCATTCCTATCCACCCCTCAGCTGTCAGATATTAACTATGAGCTATGGCATCTACCCATCACCAGGAATTGGCTGAGTACATCAATGAAATGACGCGTAAGATGGAAGACATGCAGAGCATGGTGACTCTGCAGCAGCAGATCGACGGCTGGCAGGGACTCTCGCTCATGGGCTGTGGCACTATGCTACGACAGGGGATACTCAGCGTAGCCAAGGAGG